GGTTATCAGCAAAAGAGTGAGCCCAAAATGCAAATTACAAGTCAAGGATACTAAAATCAAGCAGGTACAGAAATTTAAACATCTGGGAAGTGTTCTAACAGAGGACAGAAAGTGTGACACTGAGATCCGAAGATGTATTGGGATGGCCAAAAGTGCATTGCAAAAGTTAAGCAAAGTATTAAGACAGAAAAATTTTGCTAGAAACAAAGAAAAGAGCTCTGAACTGTTCCATGTTAACTGTCTTCCTATATGGCAGTGAATGCTGGACAATCTCCTCAAAGATGAAGAAGAGACTTGAAGCAACAGAAATGTGGTTCTACAGAAGGATGCTAAGGATACCATGGGTGAAACACATGAGCAACGACGAGGTTTTGGAGAGAATAGAAACAAAGAGGAAACTTATACTTAACCTCAGGAAGAGACAATTGAAGTTTCTGGGGCACGTAATGAGGAAGAAGGGCTTGGAGAATCTGATACTCACAGGACAGATAGAGGGAAAGAGGGACAGAAGAAAGCAGTATGTAACATACTTGATGGGCTTGAGCAAATGGATGGTGGAAACAGGGTTTGGGAGGAATAACAAAATGACAAGACTAGAGCTACAAAGAACAGGAGAGAGCAAGAGCCATGATAGCCCATATCCTGAGTGGACACATCACATAAAAGAAGATACAAATACTTGTCACAAAATAAAATCCTTACATTTACCTTGATAGAGCCACTCAGATGATCAAACATGTTGGCTAAGTTTTTGTTTTGTCTTTATCCATATTGTCCTTTTACATATATACTATATCTGAAATTCATATATATATATAATTTCACCTCTAGCAAGAAAATAAAGCCAGTACTAACATGTAAGGAGTTACTGAGTGTGAAAGAATATGAGAAAAAGATTACTGAGCAACAACAATAAAAGAACAAGAATTAAGAAGACAGAAGATAGCAATTGATATTTCATTCAAATTATTGAAGATCAAAGTTAACTGGAAAACAAGAAGCTGGAAGAGTGTTCCACAAGCAAGAATTGTAAGAGAGAAAACCATTCGCATGGCACTTGCCTCTAGTAATTTCAACAGTAAAATGATGAGAAATATATTATATATATATATATATATATAAAAATAAATGACAATAGGAAAACTGTAATAGTTGCCGACATGTTTCGTCCAATGTGGACTTTCTCAAGGCAAAAAACGAAATGAATTTATTTAAACATAGTAACTAATAATAACAAAAACAAAATGTCCTTAGCAACTGGAAGAATTTAGGGAATGCTATTTTCATACTGTTAACTGAAAATTACGTCAATTACTGTCACATTCAACCATTTCTTTTGATTTCATGATATTGTTGTGTATGTTTGTTTGAGAGAGTAGTAATTCTGTTAAGAAAGGTGAAATAGGGAAAAAGCCTGGTGCGTAGATTAATATTTGGGTAATATTTAATGGCGGCAATCTTTTCCTTCTGAGTGAGTTATTTTCTTTTTTTATGAGTGTAGTATTTTTAAAATCAAAATTGTGGTTGAATTTATTTCTATGTATGACTAGTGCATTAGCTAAGTTGTTTTTTGAGAGGTCTCTTGTGCTCATAAATGCATTTTTTAAAAATTTCTACTTGTTTCTCCAATATATTGGGAGGAACAGTTTTGGCAATTTATTACAGTTTTCCTGTTGTCATTTATATTTATAAATATTGTCTTTTCTACAGGTTAACTCTGAGAAATTTTCCTATATATATATATATATATATAATTATTTTTAAAAAAAATTTATAACATAAATATGTTATAAAATCACTACAAAAATAGCCATTTTGTTTCAACACCCACGGTGTCTTATCAAGTGATAGATAGATAACAATTCTCAGATAGATAGATATTAAAAACATTTTAAATAAATTTTGTTTATCTTTAAATTAAAACAACCATGATTGTGATTTTATTAACTAACTATAAATGTAGCAGGAATAATCAACAAATATTTATAAAAAAATACATAATCAATAATTGGTGTGCTTTGTTAGATTAACTATTTGTACAAAACTGGTCTTCTCAGCTTCTTTTTTACTTCAGGGCAGATTTGTAGAATAATTAAAACTCTGGGTCACACTTTAAATTTTAATAAGGAAAGATTATTCATGAAACTTGGAAAATAAAGGAGATTACCTTGAATAGTTGCCATTTTTTGTTTAGCATTCCCCAAAGAATATTAGCAGTACAGTTTTCATTTAAAGGGATTTACGAATAATCTGCTAGTTTTTTTTAGAGAGTCTGATAATAACTGATTTAAATCCTGTGAGGAAGGCAAAAGGGAAAGGATTATTCACTCCTTAATTCACTTCTTAAAGATTAAGGAATCTAGCATCCAGTTTAAAATATCAAATAACAAAGACTTAACTTCAACATGGAATCCATGTGTTTGCTGTCTCTAGCATTTTAAAAATCAAGATTTTTTTTTTAAATATGAAAATAATTCATAAATTACTCTTCTGTTAATTTGGGATGCACCTGGTTAACTTTTATGATGGATAAGTGTTCTCAGGCGCACCAGGTGAAAAATACTGTTTTCAAAAGTAGTATTTTGTCCCACATAAATCATCCAAATGTTGTGTCAACAATTGGATTCAATATTATGAATGTAAATTAATGAAAAAAAAGATGTAATCACTCTTTCATTAATATCTAATTTGCATCTAATACATTATTATTTATAACTGAAATTCATAATTTCATCTAATACATGAATTTTACATAATAAACTAAATTATTTTAAAACAATTTATGTCATCATAAAAATAATATTTTTATTTATAAAGAAAAGAATGTGTGATATGAAAATAGATTCAATCCCACCCAAAATTTTGTTGATATGGATGAAACTTTCATAAAACTCTATATAGTATAGCTTGAAGAAAAGGAACTATTATTTTACTTATTAATAAATAGTATGATAGATATGTTATGTTTCATTATTTTTAAGCGATAACTTCACTACTCTCCTTATATATATATAAAGAAATATAGTTTTAAGGTGTGCTACATTTATGGGATAAAGTGATCAATATCAGAGATAGAGCATATGTAAATATAAATATAAAAGTGAATATTGAAGTCAACACTCAGAGGTGACATGCTGTTTCATGCTGAACATAATCATCAGGCAGTCTGGCGATTGCGTCCAGCATGAAACATCCTGTTACCTCTGAGTGTTGACTTCAATGTTCACTTATATATGTATGTGTGTGTGTGTGTGTAATCTGTAATGACAGAAAAATAAATAACAAAAGAACCAAAATTTCAAAATCCCTAAAAATAGATGTATATCCAGAATTACTAGGCCATGGAGCCATATTTTGACCAACCATTCAGAAAACATTCCAACCAGGATTTGAACATCATAGCCTAGTGAGTGAATCAGAAACAAGAGCTGCTCCCAACCAGAAAATAGGGTCACTAATTGTTAACCAATGAGAAGTGAACTAGCAATTTTGAATCAGATATCTAGAAATGTATATTGTAATAAGATGGAAAATAAACCTAAATCAGAATTGATGAATTAATTGCATCCATTCTCCAATGCTGTGGTCATCATAACATACCCAGAACTGAAATACGATATGTGCATGATCTACACAGCCTCAGACATATTCAATATTTACCATCTCCCACCTGCTTTGACCTTAGATATCCACACAGTTTTGTGTTGACACTAAAACATGCTTATTTCTTTCACCCACATTTTTAAGCAGAGGGTTGGTACATTTGAATATATATATATATATATATATATATATATATTAATAATAGTTTTATTATAATAGGTTATAATAAAAACATTTTACATTGCTACACAAAAGAAGTACAATCATAGCATTGAAACATTAAAGCTTTTATGTAGTTAGGTAAAATGTTTTTATTATAATCTATTATAATAAAAATATTATAACATTTTGCTCTACTTTATATTGAGCACTTTTTAAAAAGTAAATGCTATGAACTGTGGATTTTTACTTCATCTGTTCTTTCTCTTATTTGTGTGTGTGTGTATATATATATATATATATATATATATATATATATATATGTATATGTATATATTCCAAAAATCTCATACTTTCTCTCTCAGATGCACCAGGACATTTACATTTGAATTTTTGAACCACCAACTTTCACTCTCTCCTTTTGTATATATTTTAGGGTTATGACCTTTTGGGAACCTTATATTTCTGTGTTATAAATCAATGAACTTTTGTTCAAAAGTAATGAAAAAGACATTAATTTGTTTTAGTTCTTGAAAAAGGTCACCTTACTAACTGAAAATTTGATTTTACCATATACCCAATAAGGGTAAAAAAATCAAAATATTTCAGTGGTTTTATTTTCAATTTGCTAATGCTCTAACTGGATAGTACTTACATATTTTTTAATGAATTTAACAGTTTATAGCTATAGAAAAACACACAATCTTACAAATAAACAAAATTGTTGCTTAAGCTTTATTTTTCAATTTGCTAATGATGTAATTCAATAGTACTTACGTATTTTTAACACAACAGTTTATAGCTATAGCATAACATACACACGTACAAATAATAAAAAAAGTTGTACAAAGTTCCAGGAAGTTTTAGAAATGTCAGAATACTCTTACATTTAAATGCACTTTTAGAAATTTCATGTTGGGATGACATTTTTTTTAAAAAAATAAACTGAATTAAACTCTTCTTTGTTATTTTTTGACAAAAGTTCATCAAATTATGATACAAGAAATCAATTATTTTACAAAAAGTCATAACACTTATATATATATATATATATATATATATATATATTGCATTATGTAAAAATATATTTTGTATATATTAACATTCTGTTCATCTTTTTTCAAATCTTCACACACGAACAAATAAATGTATGGTGGGAATGGACGTTGTCATAAGACAACATCCATCATTCACTATAGATCTTCTCTTGTCACAATGTAGGATACTTAAAAACAAAAGGTTCCCATATGATCACTGAAGTTAAGCAATATTGAGCATAGGCAGTACCTAGATGGATGACTGCTTCGGAATACAACGTGCTGTAAGCTAGGATGTGCAAGTGGTGTAATTGATAATGACACGGAATTGTTAATTGGAGAGTTAAGTTCCAATTCCAGTTGGGTTTGTTATATTCACTCATGCAGAAATACCCGTGGAAAAGGTATGAATCTACCTCTTCTACCCCCAGTTATGGGTTAATTAGTAAGATTTCAATCACTAAAAGAGTTATTATCTCTAAAAACCATAAAATCACATACAAAATATTTCCATTTTGGCATTAGATAACCCATAGAGATGTTGATATGCTGCTAAACAAAAACAACCAAACTAAACTAAAAAACAAAAAGGAAAGTATAGGGAAACTCAATGAAACTGGCTAGTCTATATGTCCAGACACATCTGACAAAAAAAAACTTAAAAAAAAGATTTTAAACTGAAAAAATTTAAATTTAGTGTTACCATATCTTCAACACTTCACCTCAGTACATAATTATAACCAACACCTGAATGTACATCTCCTCTCCTACACATATGTAATTCCATCAACAAAAATATTAGTTTGATGAAGGCCTTCTAGAGGCCGAAACACTTTACACAGAATATTTCCTCACCAGTTTAAACTTTTGTGACTTTATAATATTGTAAGCCCTCACATGTATAAACATGTTACTATATTACTGCATGCCCTCACATGTATAAACATGTATAAAGTGGTTGTTATTAAAAATTATTATTAGGTACAGGTAGCAGGATTCGGTTATGTTGTGACAAATATCATCTGACTGTTTTTTTTTTTTTTAAATACCTCACCCTGTACAAGGCCCAAACGCCACTTAAGGTAGAGAGTTACAGAGTGGAGATATGTGGGGAAGATAACAGTTCATCCGAAACTTCAACAGGTTAGGATTGCAGTGATCAGGGAAGTTGTTTCCACAAAGCAATGGTTTATGGAAAGATGCTGCCTGAGTGGAACGTGGGGTTCACAACAATGGGTGTGGCATGGCAGGTCTTAGCACTAAAGGTTAGAATTGGTTGATCTAATGAAACTATGGAAATAGCAGTAGAACAGTGAAAGGCTTGCGCCATTGTATCTGTGGGAGAAAGTTTCTAGTGTGGAAAATAATTCCTCACCCATAAGAGCAGAGAGATGTTTTTGAACGCTATCAAGATGGGAAAGTGGAGACTGGGCAGCTTCTGCCAATATATGGCAGCAGTACTCCATTTTTGGACTGATCTGGCTCTTGGAAATGTAGAGGATAACAGGAGGCATCTGGTACATTTTTATGCTGTCAATGAAAACTTGTTGGCACTTTTGTGATGTTAATGAATACTCATTGTTACTTTTGTAATGCTCATTGTAGTAGAGACTTTGTAATTGCAAATACAACTATAGTAACACCGTTGAAAAATACTGGTGTCAGATGCCTCTTGGTCGCCAAAAGACTTTGCTTAGCGTGCTTGGAGAAATATCCAAACTGCCACTGCCACTGCTGTAGTGGGGCGGTCGAGACCATTGGTCATGCCTTTTTTCATTGCTCGGTGGTAGCACCGCTGTGCAAGCATGTTGAAGGCCTCATGGGTCGCATGCTGTCTGGAAAGTTCTTTGTCCTTGAGGACGCATCTGTTTGTAGCAATGTGGCTCCACCATTGACGAGGGCGGAACACTATGTGTTCTTATGCTTGCTAGGTGTTATGAGAGCCGTGATTTGGATGACATGTCAGAAGGGATTCTATGGAGGCGAGAAGTTTACCTATTCCAGCTGATCTTGTACTTTAAGCATCAGCTTAAAGTCAAGATTAGGTCGAAAAGGCGACAACTCACTTCATCTGAATTTGGCAAAAGGTGGGTGAATCTTGCGCATTTGTGTCATGTGAAAGGGGCTGACCTGGAGTGGCACTTTGATGCTGGTTAGGCATCAGGATATTTCTTTAGCTGGGTTGAACATGGTCAACCCACCCCAAAATTTAGGTTAGCTTAGGTTTAGTTTTTGAGTCTTTAGTTTCCTTTTTTAGTAAATTTAGCTAGGGTATGTATGCTCATTGGCCCCTTTTATTTCTGTCCCTATCTTTCTTTAAGTTTAATTCCCCATCCCCTCCCTCTTTAGGTGGTCAGTGACATCAGTTCTCTGGTGGATGCGGGGCGTTTTTCGTTTCGGGTGTGATTTTTTCGTATCTGTTGTTGTGTCTGAATGAGTGCATGTCTGTGTGAGTGATTGGAATGAATGAATGTTTTTGATTTTTATAGTCCCGCATTAATTTCATCTAGATAACTGATGTTTCTGCCACATTTAGTGATTGTGGGGGTTTTATTACTCACATGATTTTGTTTAGTTTCTTGAAAATAGTTATTTGTTTCATACTGTAAATATTCATTGGGGTTACTTTTCAAAATTTTAAATTGTTGTTTTATTCCCCTCCCCCACAGACCACAAATTGTACATATGGGGTCTAGTTCGTATTTTCATGGAGTCATTGAGGTATTATGGTGGGTGTGGTGAGAAAGGTAAGTAAAAATGTGTTGTTTTGGTGCAACAAATATTGTTAGTATGATTGGGTCAACATTTGTGGCTAGCTAAGTTTAGAAGTTAACACAGAAGACCGACCTTTGTCCCCATTCCCCATTTTGGCCTTGTGCCACATTTTCTGTTACAGCACAGAAATAAGTATCGCTTTTACTTGTGATTACACCAGTCTACTGGTGTGTCAAATCACTTGTAAGCTAACCAATATTCTACACAGCCACTACTGCTTTCAGTTGAAATTCATAAAATCTTTCCTTTAAAATACATGGTGTGAAATAACACCTTATGTCAATAATTTCTCTTTGAATTACATGTGCTATCCATTTTAATTATTGCTACTGTCAGTAGCCCTCAAGGGATATAGTTTGTTATTTGCTACAGTCCATTATTCCTGATTCTGTTGCACCATTCCACAATGTACAAAGAAAGATAATCTTTGCCAAAACCTTTCTCACCATTGATCTTAGGAAGTGTAAACAGCTGATAGTTTAGATATTTCTAAATGGGTTTGGCACCAGGCATGACATCCATATGAATGTCTTCCTCTGACAAGCCTATTTAATAACAACACAAGTTTTCAGGTTGATGTTTTGTAGCAATTTGTGGTGTTGGGCGAAACTATCTCTGGCACAAACTATTCTATGTTCAATTTTCTTTTTCTTGTACTTAATTTGTTATAGCTGATCTATACACCAAGGTACCTGAAATTTAGATTCCATCAATTGAAACCTTTTTTTCTGATGATGTTCTTTCAGAACAAAAAGTGCCACAACCTAGTTTTCTATCAGTGAAATACTCATTGCCTGTACCTTACAGATTTCCAGAAAAATATATAAAATATTGGAAATAGCATTAAATATAAAAAACTATATATATATATAATTGTTTATCATCGCAACACCAAAATTCCCATATTTCAAAACTGAAACTTCAATTTAAACTTAAAATACAACAGTAGAGCATAATGTTATAATTGTTTTTTTTTTAAAAAATATATTATCATCGCAACACTAAAATTCCCATGTTTCAAAACTGAAACTTCAATGATACAAATTAAACTTAAAATACTATTCCATTATCAAGCGATGCTAAGAATCTTAGTCCCTTCTTAGTTTCTTTTTTGATAATGGAATGGAATTTTGTATTTTAAGTTTAATTTTTATGATTGAATTTGAATTGAAGTTTCAGTTTTGAAACATGGGAATTTTGGTGTTGCGATGATTATATATATTTTAAAGAAACAATTATAATATTATGCTCTACTCTTGTATTGAGCACTGTTTTTTAAAAATAAAAATAAATGCTAAGAACTCTGAATTATAAATCTCATTGTTCTTTCTTATTATTTTAATGTATACACACACACATATATATATATATAAATAAATTCTCAAGAGGATAGAATCCAGGTAGAACTCAATGTCCAGGACAGAGTAAGAATAAAATATAAAAGTTAAAAGGCTCAAACACTAATACTCCATGGTTATAATTTATTACATTGGAATCGTAATCAACAAATATTACTGTTTGAGCCTTTTATATTATATATATATATTTAAATTAGGTGTATTTCTCATTTATACTTGTTTGATTAAAGAACTGTAGGCTATGTGCACACATATCCCTACCCACAAAACCAACTGACCAAAGTCAGGAGACATCTTACTTATTATAAAATGCAGATTGCGTGTGTGTCTGTACGTTTATATATTGGATTGGATTTCCTACATTTTTCAACCGATTTCAACAAAACTTCACAGGACTGCGTAAAATTACCTTGCAGTGGTTCTGACAGCACCAAAAATTGGAAAAACACAATTGTTTTTGCACGAAATCAATTTGAAAACACAATAAAACACAATTCAGTCGCCAGAATGGAAGGGGGACAACTCATATCGAGTTATACTTATTATAAAATCAAGGTTGGTTGTTTTTATTGTGTGTGTGTGTTCATTTATATATGGGATCAGATTTCCTACATTTTTTAACCGATTTCAACAAAACTTCACTTTTTTCTTATTGTCTTGCACACTTTTTTCTTTATTTTTACATTCAGAATGCTTTAAAAATTCCATTCAATCGATAGAATCATAATGATTGAAAACAATGTTTTTGTTTGAGTTTGGGTTTGACCAATTCGTGAAAAAAAACAAAAAAAAACTAATTAAGACATGCATGTCCATCAACCTTATACAATAATCTTTGTCAATTTTATTTTTCAGTCTTCATGATGGTCGATACTTGATCTATCTCTTACTGTTATATCCCTGGGCAACGCCAGGCTCTACTGCTAGTCATAAATAATTACTAACCAACTAGAGAGCTCTAGATTAAGAAAAATAAACATGACGCTCGTGTCTCATTTTCAAAGGAAAAAGGAATCAGCTTCACTACGCATGTGCAGTTAAATATTTTTGTGTAAAAATTTTTCTTCAACAAGAGACACAAAGCATTGTCATATGCATTAATAACTTTATACATTGTATATTTGACTGGGCTTGAAGCAAGAAAAAAAAAAAAGAA